ATGAGGTTTAACAAGACCAAGTGCAAGGTCCTGCACCTGGGTCAGGGCAACCCCCAGTAGTATCAATATAGGCTGTGGGATGAATGGACTGAGAGCAGCCCTCTTGAGAAAGACTTGGGGATGCTGGTGGATGATAAGCTGGACATGAGTCAGTAATGTGCCCTTGCAGCTCAGAAAGCCAATCGTATTCTGGGCTGCATCAAAAGCAGCATGGCCAGCAGGTCGAGGGAGGTGACTCTGCCCCTCTGCTCTGGTGAGACCCCACCTGGAGTGCTGTGTCCAGCTCTGGGGCCCACAATATAAGAAGATAGATCTGTTGGAGCAAGTTCAGAGGAGGGCCACAAAGATGATTAGAGGGATGGAACACCTCTCCTATGAGAAAAGGATGAGAGAGCTGGGGTTTCTCAGCCTGGAGAAGGCACCGGGGAGACCTTATTGCAGCCTTTCAGTACCTGAAGGGAGCCTACAAGAAAGCCTACTAGTTACAAGTGCATGTAGTGATAGGACAAGGGGGAATGGCTTCTCATTGAAAGAGGGAAGGTTTAGATTAGATATTAGGAAGAAATTCTTGACTGATGTCATAGGTTTGAAAAGAGATGTTGGAATTTTCTTTGTCTTCCCTAAGGTCCCATCCCCGTTCCCCTCCCCCATCTGTTTCTTCCAGGATGGGGGGAGTTGGGGAGGGGGTGGAGCGGAGCCACAAGTGTGGGGCAGCACAGGAGCGGGGAGAGGGGGAGGTCTCGTGGGAAAGCATGGTGACCGCAGGGATAGCTGGGGAATTCTTTGTTCGGGGGCTTTTGGGTGGTGGTCCAGGACCAGACAGAGCGGGAGCCTGGTTTTTGGCTGCCTCTTTCTCTTTTCCTGAGAGGAAGTTTTTTTCCCCATGGGACACCTCACGGAGGACAACCAAGAGAGAGACACCGACCCATCTCAGAGCGAGGTATTCTACTTTCAAGACTGCCTGTGAGAAAAAGGGACTCCATTTCTGACTGTGGGCACATGTGGCTGCAAGCAGCTTTTTCAACTGCCGGGACAGTCCTGCCTTCCCCCCCCCACCTGGGGATTTGGGACTTTGTTTTGTTTCTTCTGAAAGTTTTTTGATTGCACCATTTGTTGTTTATCCGGATTTTGTTAATAAAAAGCTGCTTCTTTTCCTTTTCCACACTTCCACCTGAAGTCTCTTCATTTATAAATTGTAATCTTGTTAAACTAAGACAACTGTGAAGGAGGTGAGACACTGGAAGAGGTTGCCCAGAGAAGCTGTGAATGGCCCCATCCCTAGCAGTCAGTGTTCAAGGCCAGGTTGGATGGGGCTTTGAGCAACCTGGTCTAGTGGAAGGTGTCCCTGCCCATGGCAGAGGGGTTGGAACTAGATGATCTTTAAGGTCCCTTCCAATCCAAATCATTCTATGACTCTATAAGACAAAATAGCAACAAAAATATTAAATAGCAAACATTTAAGTGAGTTCCTAATGGAACAGGTTACATCCTAAAATTATTGCCCAAATTCAGCTTGGTACAGAACTTCTGAAGAGCCCCTTCCTAAGCCCTGAAGCTAAACATCTAGCAATTACCTTCTGATGCTCACCTTGAGATGTGCTTGGATGTGGATGGAGAGACTTGGCCCAACACCTTCTAACCTGCGGCATAAGTGGAAGTAGCACAAGATGTCCTACCCAGCTCCCCACACTTCCTTGGTGCATCAGCTTATCAGTGCTCTACTGGGGAGCACAGGCAGGTCAGGCCCAGCATTCATCCCAGTGTGGTGGTTTGACCTTGGTTGGATGCCAGGTGCCCACCAAAGCTGCTCTATCACTCCCTTCCTCAACTAGGCAGGGAAAGAACACATAACAAAAGACTCGTGGGTTGGGATAAGAACAAGGAGAGATAACTCACCAATTACCATCACAGGCAAAACAGACACAACTTGGGGAAATTAATTGAATTTATTACCAATCAAAATCAGAGTAGGATAATGAGAAGTACAACAAATCTTAAAAACACCTTCCCCCCACTCCTCCCTCCTTCACAGGCTTATCTTTGTTCCTGATTCTCTACCTACTTCCCCCCAGCAGCACAGGGAGATGGGATTACATTCAGTTCATGCTGCTGCTTCCTCCTCAGGGAGAGGAGTCCTTCCCCTGCTCCAGCATGGGTCCCTCCCACAGGAGACAGTCCTCCATGAACTTCTCCAATGTGAGTCCCTCCCACAGGCTACAGTTCTTCACGAACTTCTCCAGCATGGGTCCTGTTCCACAGGGTGCAGTCCTTCAGGCACAGGCTGCTCCAGCGTGGGTCCCCCACAGGGCCAAAAGTCCTGCCAGCAAACCTTCTCTAGTGTGGGCTCCTCTCTCCATGGGTCTACAGGTCTCTGTCGGGAGCCTGCTCCAGCATGGGCTTTCCACGGGATCACAGTCTTCTTTTGGGCATCCACCTGCTCTGGCGTGGGGCACCTCCATGGGCTGCAGGTGGATCTCTGCTTCCCCTGTGGACTTCATGGGCTGCAGGGGGACAGCCTGCTTTACCATGGTCTTTACCACGGGCTGCAGGGGAATCTCAGCTCTGGCACCTGGAGCACCTCTTCTCCCTCCTTCTTCACTAACCTTAGTGTCTGCATAGTTGTTCCTCTCACATATTCTCACTTCTCTCTTCTCTGGTTGCAATTACTTCTGCACAATAATTTTTTTTCCCCTTCTTAAATATGTTATCACAGAGGCACTACTACCGTCACCGATTGGCTCGGCCTTGGCCAGCAGCATGTCCATCTTGGAGCCAGCTGGCATTGGCTCTGTCAGAGATAGGGGAAGCTTCTAGCAGCTTCTCAAAGAAGCCACCCCTATAGCCCCCACCCCTACCAAAACCTTTCCATGCAAACCCAATACACCTGGCAATTAGGGAAAATGGCAGTGATAGTTCAGATGGTGCAGGAGGTCAGATGGGTGCAAGCAGTTGGATGGTCTCACCCAAACCTGGTCCTTCTAGACCATGTCCCCATGACCTCTCGGAGATGCTCCAAGCATTAGCCAGACTCCATAAAGATGGAACCAGGGCCAAATGATAACCCACCTTGTCATTAAGTAGTGTGTCACTATGGTCATTTTGAGATGTCTTTTTGGTCTTTGATGACCTGTCTTTATAACTGGTTTCTATCTCGATTCACAAGGCAGGGAGCATGACCGCTGCCCTGCGCTGCAGGGCATTTACTAAAATGCTCACAGCATGATACCAAGACTTAATAAGACTTTAAAAAAGCCAATTCTCAAGTTCAGCGACAAAAAAACCCCAACAAACTGCGTGTATTTAAGAAACAAAGCGACGCTGTCAGTCACCCCAGGACTGCAAATATAACCATAAGCAGTTTTAATGCAAAGTTCCCAATGACCCAACCCTCAGCTTTAGATAATAATTTTCACTGCGAAGGAGCTAGTACGACTGAAAATTAATTAAGTCACTAGGAATGATGATTGAGACACACACTGACAAGAATAACATCAATACTCAGAGAGATAAGACAGCTGGTAAAATAGATTCTAGATGCAGTGTAGTTTAAATGCATGCTCGTAACCTCCGTCCTCCAGCTCCCCTGAACACACGTCACCTCCATCCACTGCTGCCCAACCCCTGTAACTGCCCACACAGAGGGATGGACCACGCTACTGGCCATGTGAACTCTGACTTAACCCATGCATGCAACTTCAGCAAATTCCCCACAAAGTCTGCATTTGCATGCATGCAGCAGCTTTTCAAAGCCAAGCTCAGCATCCCACCTCTCACCATTCCTCATTATCATCCTCCAGCAAAGCATTAAAAATACAAAATCATGCTCTTTGTTGCACAATTGCAACCTCAGCAGCTCATCTCTGTGCTTGGCATTAACATAGAACAATACCAACTGTTTGGCTGAATCCATGGTATAAATTCAGGGATTATCCTGTGTCATGTGTTACCTCTCAAGCATTTTTCAGTTCTAAGTTTGAGGAGCTTCACCCACCTTTCCTCCTTCTCAGCTGCCTACAACTCCTGGCTGCACTTTGATAGAAAACAAGAAAGGGAGAGAGATACAAAACTCTCTGAAAAGGCTCCAGTTAAAGGTTTCCTTGTTGAAAACTGCAAGTTTTCATAAGAAAAATATAGACATTTTGAGGAACACTGTATTATCCCTGCTCAAAAAAGAAGGATATGTTGAGTCTCATTCTCACCAGAAAGGACCATCACTTTCCAGCAACAATGTGGTTCTGTGGGTCCTCACCCACCACAGCATGGCTCAGGAGGAAAAGCTATTTCCTCAAGCTCTCCAGGATGGATGAAATGGATCAATGGACCAGGACTTTGACGACTGGTTCCAAACCACATGGAGTTCATCCTCCACATCTGGCACAACCAGTGCTCACATGTGCAGAAGTAGAGCAACTCCGAGAGGAGGAGGACAGAGGCTGACTAAAACATACAGAAGAGGTCCCTGGTCTGAGTTCAAGGAATGTACCTAAAACCAAATCAAAAGCAAATTCTTACAGTCTTTTGCAGGGCAAGAAGGTAACTCCCCATTTAGCCCTGCTGACGACTCCCACAAAAAGCAGCTGAACTCAAGGTCACCATTTAACCCCATCTATGTGGTGTCCACTCATCTATCAACTTCTAATGAAGACTTGACAAAAAATAATTAGACATCTCTTAATTTCTCAAAACTAAAATACTCCAAGACTTCAAATAAAGAAAAAAATCCTCATTTCCTTTGCATTAAACCAGCTGACTAGGGACTTTCCCAATATTAAGGCACTCAGCATACCTCATCAGATTTCTTGAGGTTGAAGGACAGCTACAGCCCTCAGCAGCCAGGTCACACATTATGGATGAATCAAGTAGGACTTTGAGGTGTCCCTCATAATTGACATGCACTCATACCCTATGTGTGACACACACACAAAACAAGTTGTTAGGAGGATACCTCTGATAAACAGCAAGCAAAGGACACGACTTCAGCATGTTGCTACTAGGTATACCTTGCTCAATTGCCTGAACTGGCTGCTTCTCCCACAGCTGCCGAACCTGAATCCAGACCCATGCTTGGAGCCTGACCCCATCCAGGATCCTGAGCTCCCACTGCTACTGTGATCCCAGTCTTCCTGGAAACAACAAACACAAACAGCTTGCTTTAATCAAGGGCAACGACATCCCACACCTACAAAACCACTGACCTGGTGAGCCAGGAGAGCTCCAGCTCTCAGATCACATGTGAGCACTTACAAAACCATGTTCATGTCCAATGCCCTGATTTTGGGGTTTTCTCAAGAGTCCTTTAACATGTTCTATTTACACATTTCAAAGGGATGACACTGTGTGAGGTTTTGATAAAAATAAGATTTGGCTCTAGTGCTCTAGTGTATGCATGGGGGAAAATAATACCTCCTCTATGTTCATGAGGATTAATTATGCATATTCACCAACCCCACATCCTCTAAAAACTGTTTCAGTGCATTTACATAATGCACTTCAACTTTTGGTCAGCCCTGAATTGGTCAGGCAGTTGGACTAGATGACTTGTAGGTCCCTTCCAACCACAATATCCTGTTCTGTTCTATCCTATCCTATCCTATCCTATCTCCTTAATTCCCCTCCCAAGACCAAATCAACTTCTCAGTCAGTTTTTCCCTCTGCTTAGCCCACTGTTGGAGTCCAGCTATTCACATACCTGAAAACACTTGGAGTTCACCAGAAGACACATTACACAAATAACTATTTTTGCCTCTTAAGGAGCTGTGTCCAATGTTCTCCTTTATTCTCCTACACTTGTTCTGCTGTCAAGCAACCTGCAGTTTTCTTGTTCAGCCAGCAGCCCTCAGGGCAAGATGAGTCATCTGAAAACCAGAATAACTCACCCAACCAGCTCTATCTACCCAAATATCCTACAAGGTGCTTGGGGAGAAGGGTTGTCAGAGTAATTGCTCCAAAAGCTTGGCTCAGGTACTTGGGAAAGACTTTTGAAGTGACCTAAACTGATTAAAAAGACATGAAATCCTAGAGTGCAGAATATTCAACTCTTTCAAGCACTCTGAAAATCTGGGAAATACAAATGGGTGCATGCATTCTAGGACTGGTGTGAGAGCTGACACAAAGAGGGCTTCTCTTGTCTCAGACATCCTTGAAGAGTGTATTGGGTCTGGCTGAGCTGGAGTTCATTTCCCCACAGTAGCCCTCACAGTGCTGTGCTTTGCATCGGTAGCTAGAAGGGTGTTGATAATATACTGGTGTTTTGGCTACTGCTGAGCACAGCACCAGCACTGTAACATTCCTTCCTTAGTTGAGGGCAAGATCCTGGGAGGGGACCCAAGTAGGCCAGCTGACTCAAACTGACCAAAGGGATATTCCATACCATATGACATCAGCTCAGATATAAAAGCTGAGGCAAGGAGCAGGAAGGCGGACATTCGTTGTCTAATGGCTGCCTGTTGAGAAACCGTCATGCGTACTGAAGCCCCACTTCTCAGGAGTGGCCAACCATCGCTGCTCATGGGAAGTAGAGAATAAACTCTATCTTTCGCTTCTGCGCGTGCAAGCTTCCGCTTTACTTTTTGCTTTAAATAAACTACCTTATCTCAACCCACAAGTTGGTTTTTTTTTTCCACCTTATTCTCTCCCCTGTCCCACTGGGAAGGGGAGTGATAGAGCAGTTGGGTGGGCACCTGGCATCCAGCCAAAGTCAACCCACCACAGTCCTTTCTGGCACCCAACGTGGGGCAAGATAAAGGCAGTTATATATATATATTGCATGCTATAGTAATAGTAGCTATTGAATAGCAAGCTCCTGTGTGGGACACAGAGTTTGCTGACTGCACTGCTTATCACTTTATTTTGCTAAGTTTTGGGAACATACTAATCTAAACAATGGCTCCATGCTTTGCTTTTACACTGATGGCCTTGTTATGCTGGGGGAGTTAACTCCTGGGGAGCTATCTGGGGACGACAGAGGAAAACACCCTTCCCCCCATCCCTGACATTGATATAAATGGCTTTATAATGAAGTCTCCCATGCTCCTTGCTAATCCTTATGTGAGCTGTTTGGTAATGTTACTGTTACTAACTAATACTGCCAAGCACATTATGGAGTTCTTGGAATCTGATGTTATCCTGGTGTAGGAGAAAACCAACTTAAGTGATGATATATTGGGACGCACCCTGAGGTGCCCAGTTCCTGGGTGGCAGGGTGTGTGGAAGGATCTGGGCAGGTTCCTAGGGCGTTTGACACCTCTCATTACCTGGGATTTCACACCGGAACAGGTATTCGACCCTAGCAAACTGACACGTCACCTGATGGAAGGGTACCTTGCCTACCCCAATCAAAACCAGCAGCTTCTTGCTGTGTACTGGGGCCTGGCCTGTGCTTATCAAGCCACAGTTCAATACTCTCAGAAGACTGTAGTGGAGACAGGGACCCAAACTGCAATGGAGGACACTATGGCTGAGATAGGGACTCAAACCACAACTACAGTCATTACCCCAGTAGTGAAAAAGAAGAAATGGATAAGGCAAGCTACAGGTCCATCTCAACGAGTAGTAAGGGAGGAGGAGGAGGAAGAGGAAGAAGGAGAGGGAATAGAAGGAGGGGAGGGAGCAGATAAAAAAGCTGGTCCTTCAGCAAAGGAAGTCAGAAAAATCAAACAGGAAATTGAGGTTACTCAGTCCCTGACCTCATCAGAACTCTAGGACTTGCAGAAAGATTACAGTTGCCAGCCCGGTAAATGGATTCCTACCTGGCTGTTTCGATGCTGGGACAATGGGGCTGATAGTTAACAACTAGAAGGTCATGAAACCCAACAGCTGGGATCCCTTGCCAGAGATCGTGAAATTGAAAGAGGAATTGGAAAGGAGAGAACAATTTGCAGTCTTTGGAGATGGCTCCTCTCAACCGTGAGGGAAAGGTATCTATTCAAGGAAGATCTAATGAGCTCCCCAAGAAAGTGGGCCACTGCAGATGAAGGTATCCAGTACCTGAGAGAATTAGCAGTGCTGGAAATCATCTCTAGTAACCTAAGAAGGGATAACACCCCCAAAGACCCAGAGGATGTTCCTTGCACGATGGCCATGTGGAGGAAGGTGGTTCAAAGCACCCCTGCATCATATTCTAACAGCCTGGTAACATTATATTTCCCAAAGATGGATCCACCAACTGTAGAGGTGATGTCCTCCTGGCTTCAAAATGTAGAAGAAACTCTGAGCACTTCCTCATTCCCACGGGCCAGCACCTCAGTTCTCAGGGGCAGCCCAAGAGATCGGTCCCCTCCTGTCCCAGTCAGAGGGAAAGGAGGCCCCAAGTGCAGGCCACATGGTGAACTCTGGTTCTTTCTGCGTGACCAGGGGGAAGACATGAAGAAGTGGGATGGTGAACTCTAAGCTGGAAGCCCGAGTACGTGAATTAAGAGGGAAGAGAACTGTTAAGAAGGGGTCACTGTGCTGGTTTAAAAGTTAACCAGCAGGGGAAACCAACCCAACTCAAAAGAGAGATTACAAGTCAGAATAACAATTTAATAAAATAATACAATAAGTACGACCACACACACAAGCAACCGGTCCTAACCCACAAAGCCCAAATGTACAACCCAGCACCCTGGGGCACAAAAAAAGTGGTGCTCCCTAGGCCCCCCCCGAGTCCAAAGCAAAGGGAGAGGGGAAAAACCTGCCGGTGGGAGAGCTGCTGCAGTCCGACCAAAAGTGGTGATTGCAGTCCAGCTGAGGGTGGTGGTCTCAGTCCGGCTGAGAGCAGTGAGCTGCAGTCTGGCTGAGAGCGGTGAGCTGCAGTCCTCCTCTGGATCCCACGAGTGGTGGAAAGGTTCTGAAACTCCAGGTTTATATATTCTCCAGCTCAGGCAGGAATGCTAAGTCCCTCCCTCAGAGCGGGGAATTCCATAAAAGGATGCTCAGTCCTTCCCTCAGAGTGGGGAATTCCATAAAAGAGCATGAGGACAGGAACATCCCCCCACCTCGCAGGCCTCTACTGACACAGTTTCTGGGAAATGGCATGGAAGGCTATAGAATACACAGTTTTGGGCTACACCCATCCAGTGATGAATCGGTCCCAGCTGTTCTAACTAGGACAGTCACTCAGGAAAGCTGTCCATGTAGTTGCCGCAGAGACCCAGTTGACTGAAATCAACTCCTCTGATCCTGGTGAGGGGACCTCTGGTCTGGCATTCCTCTGACCAGGAACAGGAATAGAGAGTCCCTGCCTTCAGCTAGGAGGAGGAAAGGGATGATCGGGTCTACTGGACTGTGTGGATTCGATGGCCTCTGTCAGTTTGAAGAAATTCTCCCTTTTCCTGTCACTACATGCCCTTATAAAAAGTCTTACGCTGTTAACTTGATAGCCTACCACCTCTGCCTGCCACAGGTGTGCTGCTGTTTCTACTGGCTTAATGGGAAGGCAAACCAAGTCATCTCCTCCACCACCAGCTCCTCGGGGAGGACAGGGGAGGGGTGCTATGTCGTAAGGCAGAAATTGTGTGAACAATTTCTATTGCATTTCTGAGATTTTTGCCTTGGCATAGCTGAGCACTGATAGTAAAAATTACTGCGCCATTAAGATGGCTACAGGACCTGAAGTTAGAACAAAGGTGGATTCATGCCAGATGCCAAGGAGGAGTTTTGGCAGGTGAATAAAGTTTTCTCATCTCCTATGACCACCTGTTGTAGTCCAATTAACAGTGGACAGCAGAGCATGTTTTCCTTATGTAACCAATGTAGTGTGAACAAGAAACTAAGCGTCATGAGCACTATATAATCTGTCTTTCTTCTAATAAAGATGACATTTTGCCTGATCATATTGATGTAAGAGCATCTGTCCGTTCCCTTCCATCGATAGTGCTATGAGCAGGATGTAGGATAATCCAGATGTGATCCACACACCCTCTTTCACTGCTCAGTAGATAGGCAACATGACTATCAACTGGAGAAACCTCTGAGGTCCCCAGTCATGCACCAAGTCCCTGCTGCACCTCGTGAGACATGGGCACACATGCAAATAAGCGGTAAAATAAAAGGCAGTCCTATTTACTGCCAACAACACAAGTTTTTGCTTGGTGATGATGGGTGACAACCAGCCACCCCGGGGGAAGGGATGGACTTGGCCAGG